CCCAGAGGGCCAGCCCACTAACACATTTGTATAATTAAATTAAAATTCAACTATTCTTCTTTTATAATTAAATTCCCAAATATTATTTTAATTTTTGCAATATTTACAAAATTTTAAATACTAATGATACGAATCCTTGCAAAAAATAATTATTTATTATTATTTTGTAAATCTGAGTGTAATAAATAAAAGTCCATCTTTGAGATAAAATATAAAAATCTCAATGCAACTATAAGGACCTTTTTTTGTGGATAAATACAAAAATCTATTGCATGCTGATAGTTAGAGGTGGCAAACTAGGCTCGGTCCGGAGAGCCGGCCCACCAACTTATTTTTATAATGAAATTAAAATTTCAGACATCTTCTTTTATAATTAAATTCATAAATTTGATTTCAAATTTTGTAAATGCAAATTTGTAAAATTCAAAATACTAATGACACCAATCCGCAAAAAAATAATTATTTACATAAAATTCTGACAGTTAAAGGTTAAAAACTGGGCTTGTCCCGGAGGGCCTGCACGACCCGCTTGCCAACACCTTCTTATAATTAAATTAAAATATCATCCTTATTCTTTTATAATTAAATTCCTAAATCTGATTTTAATTTTTATAAATATAAATTTGTAAAATTTCAGATACTAACGACACAAATTCTTGCAAAAAATAATTATTTATTATTATTTTGTAAATCTGAGTGTAATAAATGAAAGTCCATCTCTGAGAAATACTGAAAGAAGCCGAGTCAAACTTTGTAACTTTTGAATGACCACAAGACTAGTTAATATAGCGATATATTTTGGAATGACCATAAGATAAATAAAGAAATCCATTACATACTGATATAAAATGCTAATAGTTGGAAGTTACAAAATGGGCTCGGCCCGGAGGGTCGACTCACCACGCCAAACAAACCGGTTTTTTCCCTGTGCATCAGCACGGGTAATACATTAGTTTAAATTAAAGAGTAAATACATTTTTTTGTCCTCAACAAATTTCACGATACCCGCTTTAATCCCTAATAAATAAAAAGACTATCATGGTCCTAAGAAATTCAAAATAGACCCATTTTAGTCTTTTTGAGAGACTAATATGAGTCTTTTTTGAATTTGTGAGGGACCACGATTTCAACTAGATGTGTCCATTTTGAATTTCTTAAGAACCACGATTGACCTTTTTATTTGCTAGATACTAAAGCGGTTATTTTGAAATTTACCAAAAAGGATATTTTATCTAAATTAAACTAAATCTAACTGGATGGAGGGAGAACACCATGGTGTGTTCAAGGGAAGAAGATGACAACTTTGTTAGAGTACAAAAAAGGTTTAAATATAGTTATTAAAACGCACCTCAAAATTCCTTCCTTCTATGCCTCAATAGAAGCTGCTGGTTTTCCCCACTGGCGTGGTAAGTTCGTCAACGGCTTACAAAGGGCAGCTCTGGCTGATGGTCCGATGTGGGCCTAAGGTCAGAAATGGGCTTTGACTTTAGATTTTGTAAACGCCAACTTTCTATCAGATTGGGTTTTGAATTTCCAGCCAATAAAATTTATTTTTCACTTATTCTTTTTTTGATACATATTTTTCACTTATTTTGTTATTAGGGTTTTCTGTTAGAAAAAAATAAGACAATAAAAATTTATCCAAACAAAATATACAATCAACAACACTAGTAATTTAATAAATATTCATAAATTCAATGTATATCGAAACAACATAATATAGAACAAAATCATCAAAAAGTCTGTTTAACTAATAAAACAGGGGTGAAATGGATTGAGAGGTGAGAGAGGGCTATTATAAATGGTATAAAAAATATAAATAAAAATAAAAATTAATATACTAGGCCAATCTGAGAGGCTTCAAGGTCGAGCTTTTGAATTGGAGCCTGAGGCTTTTTTACTAAACGAGCTTTTATACAAGTCCAAGCCTGGTTCCAACAACCAATATTAGGCATGTAAGCCTGAGCTTTCACGAGCCGAGTCAAATGCCCCTGGCTCATTTATCACCCCTACCCGTGATTCCCTTTATTTTTTTCTTGAAAAACTTTAGAGCTTGTTTGAAATCTATTTGAAAAAAATAGATTTTCAGAAAAAAAAAAAAAAAAAAAAAAACTCATTTCGTAAGGTCTTCGTAACTATTTTTTTTTTTAAAAATCACAAAAAATGGATATAAAAAGGGCAAGAGAGGTGAAAATGATAATAATAAGAATAAAGCCTATTTTGGATCTCTAACAAAAAATCCGATTCTCATTTTCATCTCTTACAAAAAAAAGGTCAACTTTTAGTCTCTCTACAATTCTAATTTTTTGAAAATATGATCTCTCATAAATTTAATAAAGATCCAATTTAGTCCCTAAAAAAGACTAATATAAATACTATTTTATAAAAGACAAAATGAAGATCGTAAACTTTGTCAGATATCTAAAAGTAGCTTTAGTCTAAGGCGTTTGGTAGAGGAGAAAAAATTTTTATCCGAGAATCTCGATTTTCAAAAATATGATTTTTACATTCAGTTTACCATAATATCCAAAAATTTAAAATTTAGAAAAATTCAGTTTTCCAGAAATCTTGGAGAATGACGCATACCAAACGCCCCCAAGAAAAAGTGTTTGTCCTTTCGGGCATGTTTGATGCATAGTATATGATAAGGCCTGATAGTATAAGGCCTGATAGTATAAGACCTGATAGTATGAGGCCTGATTGTATAAGACCTGATTGAATTTTAATACTATCCAGTGTTTGGCACGGTATCGTATAAAATAATTTATTGTATAACATAATATCATCTAGTATTTGGTAATATACTGTATAATATTATATGATAAAAATAGATATTTTTAATAAAAATATTCTTTAATAAAAATTTATATAAATCTTCAAAAAATGTCCTATGATAGTAATTTTTATAAAAATCTAGTGACCATTGTGTCGAAAATATAAATTAATTTTTATAAAAATAAAAAGATTTAATATTTTAAAAATTAATTTTTATTTTAATAGATTAATATTAAAATAATATATTAATTTTTGAGAATTACATCGGTCAACGATGTTAGGGCCTGTTTGGTGTGACGTATAAGGCATGATAGTATAAGCTTATACTATACGTTATGACATTTTCTATTGTTTGGTGTGACCATCGTATAGTATAAGCTTATATAGCATAATCCCTTAATACATCAAAACGATGTATAACTTAATCCGGTCTAAGGGTGACTGATAAGGCCTGATAAGAGATTGATGTATTAACATCGTTGACCAATGTAATTCTCAAAAATTAATATATTATTTTAATTTAATCTATTAAAATAAAAATTAATTTTTCAATATATTAATTTTTAAAATATTGAATATTTTTATTTTTATAAAAATTAATTTATATTTTTGACACACTGATCAATAAATTTTTATAAAAATCAATATCATATGACATTTTTTGAAGAATTATATAAATTCTTTATTAAAAGATATTTTTATTAAAATTTTTTATTTTTATCATATATAGTATTGTACAGTGCATTACCAAATACTAGATGATATTAATATATTATTTTATACAATACCGTGCCAAACGCTGGATAGTATTAAAATTCAATCAGGTCTTATACAATCAGGCCTTATACTATCAGGTCTTATACTATCAGGCCTTATCCTATACTATGCACCAAACATGCCCTAAGCTTATACTATACGTTATGACATTTTCAGTTGTTTGGTGTGACCATCGTATAGTATAAGCTTATACAGCATAATCCCTTAATACATCAAAACAATGTATAACTTAATCCGGCCTAAGGGTGAGGAATAAGGTCTGATAAGAGATTGATGTATTAACATCGTTGACCAATGTAATTCTCAAAGATTAATATATTATTTTAATATTAATCTATTAAAATAAAAATTAATTTTTAAAATATTAAATCTTTTTATTTTTATAAAAATTAATTTATATTTTGGACACACTCATCAATAAATTTTTATAAAAATTACTATCATAGGACATTTTTTGAAGATTTATATAAATTTTTATTAAAGGATATTTTTATTAAAAATATCTATTTTTATCATATAATATTATACAATATATTACCAAATACTAGATGATATTATCTTATACAATAAATTATTTTATACAATACCGTGCCAAACGCTGGATAGTATTAAAATTCAATCAAGTCTTATACAATCAGGCCTTATACTATCAGGTCTTATACTATCAGGCCTTATCCTATACTATGCACCAAACATGCCCTTAATACATGCATCAATCTCTTATCAGACCTTATTCCTCACCCTTAGGCCGGATTAAGTTGTACATTGTTTTGATGTATTAAGGGATTATGCTGTATAAGCTTATACTATACGATGGTCACACCAAACAACTAAAAATGTCATAACGTATAGTATAAGCTTATACTATCATGTCTTATACGTCACACCAAATATGCTCTTAAAATGACACAACTTGTGTCATTTCACTCTCATAAAGAAGTGAGACTCATATTTTTATTTTTTTTATGCACTCTTTTTCTTTCACTTTAAATAACATAACTTTATAGGATAAGTTATTCTACCTATTATTTATTTTTTCATACCTTTGCCTATCATTATAAAAGATCATTAAATCAGAATCTAAAGAGGAGAGAGAAAGATAAATGATCTAAAGAGGAGAGAAAAATAAATATTAATTAAAATTCTAATCTAATGATCTTTTAAAATGATAAACAAAAAAAATAAAAAAAATAGAATAAGTATAATAATCTATTCTTAACTTTATATACTTTAAAATAATACATACTTTCCCCTGCTCTAATAATAATAATAAAAAAAGAGAAGGGGAAACTGAAAGCTATACTGCTATAGAGTGAAGTGAACTATTGTGCCCTATTTTCGCCTCGAAAATGTAAGAAACTTTTCTTCTGCTCTATGTACTCTTAACTTTTTTTCTTTTTCTTTTTTGTTTCTTTTATTTTATTCACTACAATGGTTTTTTTTTTTCTTATTTCTCTCCGTGTCGGTCTCACTCCTGAAACTCGTTTAGCTGGTGATTGGTGAAGCTTCCTCATTACATTGTTTTCTCACTCTGAGGAACTCTTCCTCTGCTTTTTCCATGGTCCAAGGTTTTTTTCTTTTTTCGTTGTTTAAGTTATTTTGTAGGATTATCGGAAAACTAATTTTTTTTTAAACTTTTAATTTTTGAAGATTATTTTAAATTGAATGTTTCGTCATATTTCTAAAAATCGAGATTGTTGAACAAAATAAATTTCTGCTGAACCAAACGCCAGTCAGTGGAATATGTTGTCTGTGTCCGTGTCTCTGCGTGTGTGTGTGTGTGTTTTTTTTGTTTTTTTTTTGGTGTCGATTCCAGGTTTTGGACGGGTAAGATCAATGTGTGTTGTGTGCAAATTTTGCATTCCTTATTCTTCTTGACGTTTTCGGTTTCCTTACTTAATAATAGTGGGTGGCGCATGTAAAAAATGCAGTTTCTGTGATCCTTTTTAAAAGCTTAACTCTAAGAAACTTGTGTGTATTTGTAGGTTCTTTAACTCATTTCACTCAGGGAACGAGTGTGTGTCTAATAGTTATAGCTCTTAAATTTCTAAGCGTTGTCTCTATTACTCAACGCATATTGCATGAGGAGCCAAAAGCACCTGTTGTTCCATTGTCCTAGCTTTCTCTAAATGCGCCAGATGATATGAGCAATTGTTACCCTAACTATTCAGTTGTACATTTATGTATCTAATGTTGTTTGTTTTTCTCTTTGAATTTTTAGTCTAGAAAGTGTATGATGATGGAGAAGTTTTGACTCATTGATGCCTTTGGATAGTTTATTGTAAACAAAGAAGCCCAGGAAGGGTTATATTCTACTACTTACAAAAAATGTTTTCTTACAAAGGATATTGATGGAATAAGATCTTGTATCTATATGTCAAAATACTAAGCTTTTTGTTTTATCATTTAATTTCTTTTGTTGATTGTTGCTTGAATTTTGGTTTACGTGCTTAGTTTTTCCAGTTATTCAGAAGTTGGGTGACTGATATTTCTGTGTTCTCCCCTGCTGCTAATTGCTAAGCTACTACCAGAAGAATGTTTAGGTTTTGTAGCTTAATTGCTCATAAATCATATACTGTATTTCCCATTGCAGAAATCTTTGAAATTTAGGGGCGTTTTACACTTGGGAGCCTGTAGTGGAAGTAACGTTTGGCTGATTAGAAATGGAACCCAATGCAAAAGTGGTAGCGGCCTATGGTGCAATGTCAGCTCTTGGGATTGGTGAATCGAAAGTGAAACCAGTATTAAAGAAACTCCTGAAGTTGTATGATAAAAATTGGGAACTTATTGAGGAAGAGAACTATAGAGCACTGGCAGATGCTATATTTGAGGGTGCTATATTTGAGGACGATGAAAATGAGGTGTATTTCCCTCTTTATTCTCTATCCTTTTCCTTTTTCTTTCCCCCCCAAAGTCTGGTCTCTTCTGAATACTTACTTCATTGTCTGATATAATGTAACAGGTGCCAAAACAGAAAAAGAAAAGCAAGAAAGTTGATGTACATAACAGTCATAATTCTTTGTTGGCTGAGTTAATCAGCATTACTTTCTTTCTTTCTTTCTTTCTTTCCTTTCAATGTCTATAGCTGCTGAAATGACTTCTGCCTTTCAAAACAACCAGGAAGAAGAGATGGAGGGCCAGGAAGAACAGTTGCATGTTGAAGAAGCCCAACCTTTGAAAAGGTTGCATTTAAGAGGCCAAGAGAGTCAGCCTTTGCATCCTCTGACTAATAGTGCCCCTAGCTCAGCTACCCCTCCATTAAAAAAGCCAAAATTAGAAGACAACACATTACCCGAGAGTTGTTCTAGACAGCAGCCTCAAAAGAAAACATTGTCATCCGATGGAAATGCAAGGATTGAAGCACTCCCAATTCAGACACGAGATGGTATTGTTGACAGGGGAAAGCAACCTGCATCAGGGCAAGTTACCCGCAGCGAAAGAAGATTTATGTCTGAAATAGCATCCCCATCAGTACCATCTAAAGAACCAACAATTGAAACTAGAAAGTTTCTGTTGCCGAACAACATGGTGCCTGGTATTCATATGCAGATCATACCCAAGGACGAGCCTATTAATGAATTGCCTGATTATGAGGTTCCCCGTCCCATTACAGTGATTCCTCCTGGTATTCAATGGACTATTCCTCGATGAAAAGTTTCATGCTTTTTGTCTTCCTTTTGTTTTTAGTGGCATGACATCTTAGTTGTAACTGACTTGTTTGGATTATAGTTTGTAAATCATGGTTTTACCCATCGGAAAAGCAATTTTTTTTTTCTTTTACTTCCTTTCAAACCATTGATTGATACCCAAAATCATGTTCAAGCACAATCCAGCCATGGTTTTGCCAAACATGTTTTTGTGGATGAAACTCAGTTTGCAAACCCCAAACCTTGAGGTTTGGGGTGTGCAAACTACAGTCCAACTCCAAGCATGTTCAACTTTTAAAGAATTCAATAGTAAGTACCGTATTTGCTGGCTAGTATTGTGGATTAGATGGAAATATTTTCTTACAAAAATACAGGAAAAATCTTTAATGGCAGTCCCTCAAAAGAAGTATGAAGTCAATGTGCGAATTTTGGTTTGGCTGTAAATTTTTTTAGTTAAACCGAACCTGAGTATTGTTTCCTTTTCCCCCTCAAAATTCCAGCATTTTTCTTATGGTGTTTGCATAATCGGATCACGTTAGTTGTAAACTGATAGAAGTGAGGCACTGTGGCGTCAACATATGCAATATGCAAGTCTTTACAGATTTATGTGTTTCTAGAAAGTTTGTCATAAGATTCTCTATGTTGGTCATCGCTTGCATATGTAGAATGAGCCGGGGTTCTGACATCTGAATTGGTCTTATCTTTGTCTAAAACCAAAGAAAATGTCATTGATAGGCCATGGGCCTAAAAGGCTAAAAGTAGGGAATTAGTTAGTTTGTTATGGAAATTATTCTAGAATATTCCTAAAGTATAGGATAAAAGGTAGGTAGTATGGTAGTGTGGGTATGCATGAATTCAGAATTGGTTAGTCGGGAAAATTGGGAATCTCTGGGAGTTGAGATTTCTGGGTTTATTTTCTGCATTTTATCTTGTAAGGAGCTTGGCTCCATTTATATTTTCTGCAATTTCAGATTTATAAAAATAGGTTCCATCTGTCACTTTTGTGTCATTTATTTTTCTTTTAATTATTGTGTTGCTATTTTTCTTTTAGGATTGCCAAACAACAGAATGCCTAGTATTCTTGCGCCGATGATCGAGAAGAAGCAAAAGGGAAATAAGGCTGGAAACAGGTTTGTGTTATGCTTATGGAATACGCCTCCCTCTCTCTCTTATATTCATGAGGGGAATGCAATCAACTGGATTGTATGCTTTTAATTTGTTTGCTTTGGCTCTTGGCTTCATCTGGGCGTTGAAATTTTCCATAAATTTTTTTCCTTTTTCATAATTATCAGGGATAGCTTTGTTTTTTTTATTCGATTCTATAATTTGGGTCATTGACCGTATTGTCCCTTTTTAAAATTTTTTTGTCAGAATGTCACCCAGCTTGAAAATTTGCCAGAATGCCACCTCTCCAAACTCGCTACAACTGCCAGCGAGTTTGGTGCCATGTGGCATGTTGCCCGAGGCCACTAAACTTGTTGCTAGTCGCAGCAAGTATGGTGGTCAAATTGCTCATATCTTTTATGCAAAAGTTGACACGTGGCATCAGCTGGAAAACTCGCTAAACCCTACAACAAATACAGTCTGCAACGTTCAGAAATTTGAATGCATATGTGACACGTGGCACACTCAACAATACTCGTTGTCAGTTGCTGCGAGTATAGTCACAACGGTCAGATGACTATACTCGCTGCTATCAGGGGCTAGTTTACTGTTATAAATACCCCACCACACCTCCCCCCATCCCCCACCTCTCATTTTCACTTTTTCACTCTATCTCTCTACCATTTTGCTTGCTTTCTCTCTATAAATTATTCTCTCTCTGTCAAGGTTTTCTCCTCTTACAAGGTTAGTTTTTATATCTTTTTGGTTATTCATTACTAGTATAGCTTAGTATATGAAACCCTAGGATAGATGACATGTTTTATTTTTATTATATCAGTTAATATAGGTCATAAACACTAGAATAGTTGATATATTAATTTTGTATCTAAAATAATAATTAAAAGTAGCATTATTAAAATAATTATATTATTTTTGTTTAATACAGTGTATTTTAATATTGTTTATTTTAGAGTTTGAAAGTTTAGGATAAATGGTATATGTATTTTTGTTATATGAATTAGTGTAGGGATTAAACTCTAGGAAAGTTGCAAATAATAATTTTGTAATGACTGAATGATAAATTTATTATTAATATAATTTAAAAAAAAAACACTCCCCGTTAAACCCGACTAGCGAGTGAGGGGTGGAGGAAATCCTTGTACGTAGCCTTACCCTTGCATAATTGTAAAGAGACTGTTTTCTGGATATATATATATATATATATATATATATATATATATATATATATATATATATATATATATATGTATATATTTTATTTTAATGTTTGTTTATTTTGGAATTTGAAACCTTAGGATAATGTCCATTTTTATGTCTGTTGGTGTAAGGATTAAACCCTGGGATAATTGACATATAAATGTTTTATTTAAAATAATATTTATAAATGGCATTATTAATATATTTTAATTCTTCTTTAAAATAGATTCATGGATTCCCCTAATGGTTCACCGCCCTGGGAAGATAATGACCCTGCACCTCCTGGCTTCCCAGAATCTCCATGTTGCCTAATCACCCCAGGTCCCATGGATCACTCACTCCTTACATTACAGGAGAAACATGTATCCGCATACGTGTGGAATGGCGCGGATGATCGCGTGATTAATGTCAGGCACGCAGCCACTCACGATCATATGAACATACCAGAGCAGATCCATCCATATCTTAGGCAGGCTGGTTTCTATGACGTTGCGCGGTTGCGCAACCACGAGGTTAGTGTACACATTGTTTGTTTAGAATTATATGGTTTAATTGTAAGTATTTGATAACATCACACGCTTTATTGTTTCAGATTGACCATGCGCTTGTTTCCGCGCTTGTAGAGCGTTGGCGCCCTGAGACACAAACCTTTCATATGCCGCAGGGAGAGGTTACGATCACATTAGAGGATGTACACCATCTGTTGGGTTTGCCCACTGATGGTGAAGCTGTCTCCGGGGTTGCTGGACATCATGATTTTCGCCATCTGATTTTGCAGAGTCTGGGACTTGTGCCAAACAGCCGTCGAGAATTCCAAGGAGGTCGTTTGAACTTGGGATTTCTGCGCGTAGAGTATGGCGACTATGAGAAGCATGCTGGGACTGAGCTCGGCCGCATTATGTACACGCGTGCTTTGATTATGCGCATCTTAGGTGGGATGTTGTTTGTCGACACTGCCTCCAGCTTTGTGCCCGCTAGATTTTTACTCTTTTTGGATGATTTTCAGCGGACAGGCACTTTTAGTTGGGGTTCTGCTGTACTTGCGCACATATACCGTGAGTTGTCTAGATTGACAGACAGATCACACTCTGATATGGGTGGGTGTGTATTGCTTCTGCAGTTGTGGGCGTGGACCCGATTCCCGAGTATCTCTCCTCCTCTCCCCGACGTGGTACACCCAGAGGCCATATATGGACATAGGTATTACTTATACTTTTTACATTTATCATGCTTTTTCGCTGTAATTAGTACTCACACTCCTCATGTTCATTTTACAGATTTAATGTGTTTGATCGCCGACAGCAACGATTCGCTAGGTTGCCTAGATATCGCTATCACCTTGATGTTATGCAGAGGTGCCAGATTATATGGAGGCCGTATTTGGGTTTTCCTGCACATCCGTCGACTGATGAACAATTTCACAGATGGATGGCTGTCTGTCCACTTATTTATTATCATATTGTGGTGTATCAGCAGCCGGACAGGGTCCTGAGACAGTTTGGCTACCAACAGCCCATCCCCGATCGTCCTATTGATTGCTCTAATCTAGCCACTATTACCCTTACGGGGAAGCCCGATGTGGACTGGAGAGATAAACATGCTTTTTATGTTGCACAGTGGCAGGATAGGGACAACCTTGTGCTGCAGAATCTTGTGCCTATGGATGGTGACGGGCACTTATCAGTTAATAGTAGGTATATTCAATGGTATAGGACAATCACTCGACGATGGCTTACACAGAGAGTGGCTCAGATGGGACATGTGGTATGTTTAACATTTTGTTTTAGTATAACGTTTTTTTATATTGCTGTGTTAATAATAATTTATTTTACAAAAATATTGCTACAGGGTGATCGAGTGGAGACAATCGTCCACATGGCATCATCTCCGAATGTATTCACGATGGGCCAGGTCCTTCATGAGGCAAAGCGGGCTTTAGCTGCCCTCAATGAGGGATATAGGATCACGGAGCCTGGAGAGGATGTGCCTCCGCCTACCATTCGTCAAACGCAAGACCCACCGCACGAGCCCCGTCGATCCCGACGAGCTCGCATTGAGGGACATCCTTTGCACCACACTTGTCCGGCAGTTGCAGATATGCCTGTACGTGTGCCCGTTCTTCCAGCGCGCCCCCCTGGGATGTTTTTTGCACCGGGGCATCCTTCAGGCCCATCTCAGCCGTATTTTTGGCCCCCACAATATGCACATGTTGGTGCAGACCCTTCACGCAGTCAGCCGGGATATCCCCCGTATTTTGCAGGCCCGTCCACCAGTGGTCACACATATCCACCACCACAATATCCCATTTATCATGGAGAAGGTAGTTCACAACACACTACCTTATAGCCCACTCAGGGTTTAGATGAGTTTGCAGAGGGGTACATGCCCATTTATGCAGACCCTTATATGGCCACCCTACAACATTTTCCACTAGCTTCATGCAGTCTCCACATTGTGGTCATATATCGGAGATTTTGCGGGAGGATATTGAACGGATCCTGAATGACCCTATGCTGGATCATGGAGAGGAGGATGATTCACAGTTTGATGACGATGATGGCATTCGGAGGAACCCTGATAGGGGGGCCATACATAAATGCAATCTGTAGCCATATGAGCATGATATGCGTCGCTGTCGGGGGTATCATGGATGCCACTAATATATTTTTTTGGAAAATTTGAAATGTATGCTCTGTTTTTATTTGACAGAGTGCGTTGGATCTGACTTTTCCGTTGTGATATAGTAAAACGGCATAACAAATTAGTTTTCTGTTGTTTGTATATACACATGTAGGAGGTGGAAAGCACCAATCCAAGTTTGTTTGAAGTTTTCCCATGCCCTATGAATTTTGGATGAATTTTTCATCTGTACATGTGTTGTCCAACCAATTGACTGATGTATGTTGCCTTTAATATTGAGGCACGAAATTCTTGGTAAGGGCTAATGGGAACTTTTTATGGATAAGGGGTTATGAGAAATGTTGTACTTCCATGTCACGTGCCTTGAGTGAGGGACACCTCATATTATGGAATCTTGCTAAATTTTAGCATCACTTGACCAAGTTTACGAGTAAGTTTATGTCTCTTCAATTTGAAAATCTTACTTTGGAGCGTCCTTCATGGAAACCTCACGGATAAGGAATTGAGCATTATTGATTGTTTATGATATTACTTTTATGTATGACCTCCTTACCTCTTATGGACTCAAGTTTTATGAACTCGTGTTCTGACTTAAGATTTTGGTGCAAGGAAGGTTGAACAACATGATGGGATTTTATTTAAGATTCTTAAACTTACTGGGAGTCATTTCTCACCCGATGTAGGCTGCCCTGTGCGGGTGAAAAGGAAGAAATTGGTGCCTGAAAAGAAGGCCTGTGATTTAAATGCTTGATGGTTGATGTGAAGCTTTGAAGAGTCTCTTTTATGGAATGACTGTTAAATTAATGTTTGTTTTGTTACATGCTGGAATTTTAGTGGAGTAATTTGTCTTCTGTCATGTCGTGAGCTTTGTATGTGTCTGGCCTCTTATGTAATGGTGTTTGGTGTTTTAGGCACTGTTTATTTTGGACCAAGTTAATGATTTATAAACTACTTTTGGTAACAGTTCCTTTGATATGGAGATACGTTATGTAGCTACCGTGGATACTTTAAGCTTGGAATATCATAATTGGAAGTTTGGTAAGTTGTTATTTATGGCTGAAGTGGCGGTGCTAATGAACATGTGTTAAATTGAATAAATGATGTAGTTGTTTCCTTCTATGAAAAATTGGGCAAGTGCTTGGGTATGCCTTATGCTATGGAATGTTGAACCACCACACACAATAATTAGTGGAATTAGGAATGAGATTTGAAATCCTAATGGTGACTTTAATTTTGAATTTCTCTTGTCAAAATTCAGGTGTTGAAGGATTGTACTTTTGGAGGCGTTTTGGTAGAGGAAAATTTTCTTTTTATCTGAGAATCTTAATTTTCAAAAATATAATGAAAACATTCAGTTTACGAAAATATCTGAAAATTAAAAATTTAAAAAAATTCAGGCGTACCAAACGGCCCCTTGAAGTTATGCCTTATGTGTCTGGCAAATATGTTTAGCAAGGTATTTTTCTTTTGTGACAGCTTGGTATTATGTTGTAAATAATACAGTGCTATGCTATATGAGAAGAAGGGTAAATTTTTTATAACTAGTTCTTATCATTTATGGCATGGCCAAAATATTGTTTATTTTTTATTTGGCCATGAATCAATAATTGGAAAAACCCTTTCAGAGTTATGATGCTGTATTTTAAAACTTTCACAGTTCTTTTTTCATTTTGTTATTCAGATTGGTTGCATTATCACTAATGATCTTACTTATTAAGTCATTTGACATATTAATTATTTCTTGATAAACTTGATGATTACATTTCTTGTGACATTGGTATAAGAAGTAGCTTCAACCCATTTTGTAAAGTAATTAATCGCAACAAGAATGAAACGATGCCCGTTTAATGCCTTCGGGTCAATGACCCCAATGATAACCATTCCCCACATCGAAAATAGCCGAGGTAAGGTGCCTTTAGGGTGTGTTTGGTACAAGTATTTCAAAAGGATTACTGGTAAACCTTCTTTGGTAAATTCAATTACCATGTTTGGTAGAAGGAACAAAAACTAGTTCCCTGATATCCAAGGATTACCGGTAATTTGATTTATAAAGAAAAATCACTATTCATATTACCAAAAATATTATGGTAATTCAGAATACCAAGTAAAGAGAAAGCTCAACAATAATTTTTTAGACAAAAATACCCCAACACACATAAAAACTTAGACCCAATCTATTAATTACAAAAGTAAAAATAGTTTAGGGTTATTTTTATAAAATAACCTCATATTTCAAGTCATATTTCGTTCTAAACTAAACATGGAATCAGTAATCTTTATTCAATATTCCCGGTAATATTTTGACGAATCAAACACATTTTTCATAAGATTTCAAATAAACTCAATTTCTATTGTATTTCCATTAATCGTGATTCTCAGATACTAAAAAATTTCTCTTGTACCAAACACACCCTTAAAATGTTTAAGGGCATTGGCGGTACATGTATAGTGTTAGCATTTACTTTGCATTTATGGCATTTTTTCTCTAACATAATTGAAGCATTTATGTCATGATTCGTCTTGTAGAACACATCTTCATTTAAAAAGAAACTCATTCTTTCAGGGGCGTTTGGTACAGGAGAAATTTTTATTTGTCCAAAAATCTCGATTTTTAAAAATATAATTTTTACATTCAGTTTATGATAATATCTGAAAATTTAAAATTTAAAAAAATTCAGTTTTTCAAGAATCCAAAAAAAATCCGTATACCAAAAAGCCCCTTAACATCCTTTATCATCCTTCCTAGCACAGAGAGGGTATTTTTTGTTCTTAATGTAGCACTTGATATTATGATACCATTACTTCGTGTCAAGCTCCTCCTCAATAGTTTGATATAAAAATTAATCCTAAAAATTTCTCTGAGATATTTTAAATTGTTTTAAAATATAATTTTAGTTATAATATATTTTTTCTACATGATATAATAATATAGTTTTTTTCTTTTTAGCGTAATTCAATCCCACACAATTACAACATCTCAAAATTACACCTTAATATACATTCTGTGATTATCTATTAGTTTACACAACACAATAATAAGATCCCATTTATATATTACAACTCAATCCGCCTTCTTACCGTTTTGGTGTATAAATATTAGGAATATAAATAGGCTAGGTCGGCTTACAGAGACTTACAGCTTAATTTATATTAAGTCAAGTTTGACCTATTATAAATAGTAAAGTAAAATAGACCTAAACTTTTAAAAAAATCTATTTAGAAAATAGGCCATAGATTTTTTTATCATGTCAGACATATAAGTTTACAGGCCGACATATATCATATTATTTATTTTAAATAAAATAAATAAAATTATTGTTTTAACAATTTTGAATAATAAAGTAATATTATTTTAATTAATGAATGTTTAATAGGCTTAAACAAGTGCTTATGTTTAGGCCAAAATTTTTATTTTTTAAATATAAGTCAGACTATACTTGTAATTTGGGGTCTAAATAAGCTAACAGACCAGGCCAGGTCAGACCCAATATTTTGTACATAGGCATGACCTATTTAATGCAAAATCTAACCTAACCTTATTTCCACCGTTAATAAATATCATATCATACCATACCCATTCGTGAGTAACCAAAATCCTAATTTTCGTTTGAATAAGAAAAAAAAAAAAGAGTTAAAAAAGGGAGCATGGAGAGTAAGCTGCTTCTATGGGATGTGATTCAGGAAATACCGTTGAGGTTACCTGTGAAATCTCTTGTTCGATTCAAATGTGTGTGCAAATCATGGCATTCTCTCATCTTTGACCCTCACTTTGCAAAATCCCATTATGAGCTATCTGCCGCACCCTCCCACAAGCTTCTCCATATAGCGGAATGTGGTTCCGAAGCTCGATCCATCGATGTTTATGCATCGCTTAACGATGATTCTTCCGTTGCAAGGCTCATTCTCTAGCTTTTTGACCCTTGTAACCTTTTATTAATAATTAATTATCAAATTGACCTTCATTCTAAACTATTTCAAAAATTTAACCCCCTCCAAAAACATAACACCAATATTTCCTGTTTGACCGTTGACCACCAAGCCTACCGGTACACCCCTCCCTACCCGACTATTTTTTGAAATTTTTTGCCTATCCGAGTAGGAAGGGATGTACCCGAGTATTTTTCTTGGCACCTGGGAAATTGCTTAAATTATTTACCCGGATAGGGAGGGGTGTACCCGGGTAAATAATTGAAATACATGAATGCTTGCGGGGGAAAAATGTATCTACTTGTGCTCGATGACTTGTGGAAAGCCGATGATTGGGACGAGGTAGAAGATGCATTTCCCGATGAAAACAGGGGCAACAAAATATTGATTACTAGTCATTTGAAAGAGGTGGCCTCGCATACCAGCCAAGATCCTCCACACTACCTTCAATTTCTCAACGATGAAGAAAGCTGGGAGCTCTTCTCCAAGAAAGTGTTTCGGGGAGAAGAGTAACCTACTGATCTAGAGTCTCTAGGTAAACAAATAGTTGAAAGTTGTGGCGGTTTGCCTATCTCCATTTTCGTATTGGCAAGGCTTCTAGCAAATAAAGAAAAGTCTCACAGAGAATGGTCCAAAGTGGTGGGCCATGTCAATTGGTATCTCACTCGAGATGGGAGCCAAATCAAGGATATAGTACTCAAACTCAGCTATGATAACTTGCCAACAAGATTGAAGACATGCTTTCTATATCTTGGGATATTCCCTGAAGACTTTGAAATTCCTGTTAGGCCACTGCTGGAAAAATGGGTTGCTGAAGGATTTATACAGGAAACAGGGTCTAGAGATCCAGATGATGTTGCGGAAGACTACCTGTATGAGCTCATTGATCGTAGTTTGGTCCAAGTAGCCTTTCAATTATTTACCCGGGTACACCCATCCCTACCCGGTAAATAATTTAAGCAATTTCCTAGGTGCTAAGAAAAATATCCGGGTACACCCCTCTTTATCAGGATAGGCAAAAAATTTCAAAAAATACTCGGGTAGAGAGGAGTGTACCAAGGTAGGCTTGGTGGTCAACGGTCAAACAGTGGCAGATTGATGTTATAATTTTAGAAAGGATTAAATTTTTGAAATAGTTTAGAATGAAAGTCAATTTAATAATTAATTATTAATAAAAAGTTTTAAGGGTAAAAAATCCGTCATCCTCCCGTCCCCACTTCCAAAGACAAAGAGATATATTTTTATTTTGGGCTTCTGCAGAGGGTTTGTCCTTATGAGAAGGAAGGCAATCTTAATGTAGGCAAATTATGTGATAAAGTATGAACGCGACATAGTTCAATTTTATATTCAGATATTGTTATTGTTATATGGTGGAAATACAAATGGCTGCATAGAGGATTCTTCTTTTTCAAATGGCCGGTCTGCATGGGGAGTAAACACCATTTGATTGAGGAAATCCTTTTGAAATTATCTTGAAATCACTTGATCGATTCAAATGTGTGTGTGCAAGTGATAGATACCTCCATTTAGAGTATATTCTAGATAAAGGAGTGGGGCTAGTGTTGAAAACAATTTAACTGCTCATTGAGCAGAGAGGTAGTTAGGGGTGAGTAATTATGTCTGATAAAATGAAGGGCAAGAGAATGTGGAAATGCACATTAAGACATCATTATAAATAAGGGGATTAGGA